GAGCTTCCTGACATAGCTTCCCAGACAAGTAGGTGTGTTCCTTCTGGACCAGTTTTTGAAGTGGTGGATAAGGCATTTCGGCAATCTCGATCATTACGGTTGGAATTGAAGGAGTTCCAGTACATGAGAGGTGAGGAGCTTCCTTCTTCCTATAATGGGAATATATTCTTCGAGTTTCCACCAGCAAGTTCGTCAAGCAGGAAAAGGGGTATGGAAACACGTCTTGATCCACATAATTGGTGCAGAGTAAAGACGACCCACTTCTCTCATTTCGATGGATCTGTGTCCATAGTCCATTGTGGTGGACAGCTTCAGTGTGTCGCTGAGAAATGCATTTCTGATCATGGCAAGAATATGTGTTTCTTTGAAGGCTCAGCAATCAATCCCCCTAGGCGTGATGAAGTTGCTACAGGATTTAGATGTCGCAAATGCGGGGCAACACCTGTGTGTCAAGCATGTTGCGATGCGAAAATGTATTATTTTCTTCCACGGGATGGATGTTTAGGCAGAGCAGCAGTGCATATTGGATACCACCAACACGCAATTGAGGAAGGAATCCGCCGTGATTCTTTTCGCAATTTGAAGACTGCTGTTACTACAGAGGCTAGGAAGAAAAGTGCAGCAACTCCAAAGTGTGTTCAACAGTCTATACTAAAGGACTATGTGGTGGACATGTTGTTACAATCTGATAGCCAAAAAGAGTTCACGGAGAATAGCTTGAAGGACCTACTTCGAAATATAGAACCTATGACAAATTTAAATAGGTATAAAATTAACACTTAACTCTACTTTATCACTAATAACACTCTTTTTTGATTGGATGGGATTTTGGAGCTAAAGAGAAAATGTCCCTATGAGTTTATTCATGGGAGCTTATTCGTTGGCCAAGTGACTTCGAACAATCAACGCCCTTTCATCTTTAAGATGTCTACCCTTGGTCCTGCTTCTGGTGTGGACCTTGTACAACGAATGGATATGGATGGAGATGGGGATTTAGCTAATTCCTAAATCCATTTTGACCATATGGAACGAGTTTTAGGCTGGTCAACAATGGGAGCTCATGTTTATGATCACAAGTAAGTGGCTTTTCATTTTTTAAGGATCTATACCAATTTACATTATAACCATTCCTTTTATAGGTTGCAGTGCAATTTGACTATAGCTATAGCCGAATTCAAAGTTCAAGATTTTCAAGCACAAACCATCTTTTGGACATGTATGTCCGAGGTTGTTGAACAGCGAACCGGGAAGAAACCCAACTTCCGTGGTTTCATGGCAGATGCAGCTGGTGCTAACTGGTTGGCTGTACGACAAGTATTCGGAGGTGATAAAAGTCAGCCATTACAAGGTAGAGAGAAGAGTTGTGAGTTTCATTGGGCAAAGAGCGTCAATGAACATTGCCGATGCATCAAGTCTACCTTCCATCACGAGTTCAAGCAGCTTTGTCGGAAATGGATGGATGCACCAACTAAAGAGGAGCACGAGGCAAAGGCAAATGAAATGCGCATATGGTGGCGTGAAGGAGACAAAGTGCCAATTGAAAACCTTCCACAAATGGAATGCTGGCTTGCATGGTGGGAAGTTCGAATGTTTCAGTGGGGTCATTATACTCTCCATGTAAGATTTCTCTCATTTTCTTTCTTGTCACATTCAAATGTTGCATTTTTTGTAGGATCAACCACTTGATGATATTGCACTTACACCAACAATTAATCTCTCTGAGAGCAAACATTGGAGTTGGAGAGCTTCCGAAGCAGGGAAGGGAAAAGTGTCCCTCTATGAAGCTACACTCTCCGACCTCACTAGATCTCTTGAGCAATCATCAAAAGCTTTGGCTGCACAGGAAGCAAGGTTTGCTGGTACAGGTCCGAACTTAGACAGGCTTCAAGAGCGGGTTGGTAGAAGGACAACACCAGCAGCAGGGTCAATGTCCAAGATGGTGGAGGAAGTTGTTGCTGGAACTCCTATGAAATCAAGTTATGAGCCACTTGGGGACATGAGAACAGCCCGTATGAAGCGTCGACAGACATTTGATGGGTCAAACATCACTCCTTCTAGCTCTCACCGTCCAGAGTTTGACTACCATTCTGTTCCACGACACCGGAAAAGAACTAAGGAACATGGAGTGGAGGAGGTGCCAGTTGTTACACAAGTAAGTCCAGTGCCAGAGGTTGAAAAGGTTATTTCTCGCGAGCCAGTTTCTCGTATCAACTGGGCAATTCGAAGAGTCAGTGCCAAGAGCAATGCACGTTGCTCTGGAATGATTGGGAGTCGAGGTCAGTGTCTCGCTTTTGTGCGCTCAGGTTCAAGTTCTTCAGCAGTGCCATGTTTCTGGGGCTGTCGAGATCTAGGAGTGAAGGGCCGCCAGTCAAGCTGGATCTACTGTTGTGGGACTGATGTTACTCATACAAGCAGGATCCACAGCTCAATTATTTTGAAGCCAAATTCTGTGCCAGAGGAGTGGCCAGTTGAGCGAAGCTGCAATCTTTTGAAAGAAGAGATTGAAAGTCTGGAGAGAGCAGGTTTCAAGCTAAAGACTTCCTCAAATGTTGCTATTAGTACTGCTATGCCACCAATATCAACACTAGACCGGCATACACGACCAGCTAGGAATGGGAAGGCTATACAATACAGGTCTTCCATTTCGAAAGGTGCACAAGAGAAGATCAAGTTGGCAAAAGAGCTAAAGTGCACAATCACAAAGACAAACTACATCAGTGCTATGGCTAAGGAGTTTATTATTGTGACTGAGTCATCAAAGGGTACGAGCTACACTGTTAAAATCTGCGAAAATCCATCCTGTACCTGTCCAGATTTTACACAGCGGGAGAACAGGGGAAAGGTATATTTAGCCTGCAAGCACATCTATTACATTTTTATGCAGGAACTAAACCAAGATCCTAAGATCGACCATCACATCCACCAGGCAAGCCTTACAGTTGCGGAGCTTGAGAAGTGTTTTTAGATTGCTTTTAGTGTTCGGATCTATATTTATATTTGTATTTTATTAGTCGAATTTACTTGGAAATATAGATTAAATCAAAATTTGAAGAATGGAAAGATGTTGGTTCGGGACGAACCAATGTTTTTCTTGTGTTTGAGAAGCCGTGAGCTCAGCTCATGAGCTCAGCTCGTGAGCTCATGAGCTCAAAACCTACCCGGGCTCCTGGCACGGCTGTCCCTCGTGGGTATTTTTGGTTAAGCAGATCGACTAGGCTATTTTCGGTACATTTGTCCGAGGCATAGGATCATCTACCCGGTAACCCGGTACCGACCATGACCAAAACAATTTCCCTAAACAATTCCTATGTCACCTCTTACGGTTTGGGTGTCCGGGGGGTACCTTTATCATGGAAGACGAGGATTAGTAATGCAATCTCCACTAGCTCTATCTCTCATTTTGTGAAAGTACGAAGCTAGGTTTCAAAACTGAACTGAGATTTGCACGACTGATGCTCACGAGCCAATGTACTCAGGTACATGCCCGGGCCGCACATCAGAAGTGACTTCCAACGATTAGAGCTAAGGAGCATGCTCAACCTGATCGCTATCCGTTGACTCATGGATCTCGCCGTCTGGACCAGTTGCTGTCATCCCGTCTTTTTTCTAAGCGGATGATTAGAAGCTGGAACAGTCGATATCACAAGCACTACCTGGGCAGAGTCAGTGAGAGCCCCTTGTGTCGCTGTGGTATTTAGTTCCAGCGCTCTGGCCGAGAGGTCCCAAGCAGAAATATAATTGTGGTAAAAGATAAAAGAGTAGAGGGTCTTTGGAGGAACTAAATGTGATTCAAATCAAATGTTTATGGTTTGGTGGTAAGTTCTATTTCTATTATTATTATTAACTATTAATTATAATTTAGAAACAATTATATAAATCAGTTCAACTTCACTCATTATACAATCAAAATTTTGTTGATCCTATGACTGGAGTTCATACAAATTGTATTAAATCAACATGGAATGTAGTGAAAATATCCTTTCATTGCTATGGTATAGCAAAAGGATTATACTGCTCTTACTTTCAAGAATATATTTGGCAAAAAATATATATTGAAAGAAAGGAAACTGCATTTAATATCCTATGTAGTCATATTAAGCTATATAATCAGGATAATGCTGTTCTATTAGAAGAAATAGTATATTTTATTTTGTACTTTAAATACTTAAAAATAATTGAAAAATAATATGTGAGAACAATCTTTAATTTATAGTAATAAGGTTACATAAGCAATGAGGTGGCATGTAAATCCAAATAAGCAAATGGGGCCAAAGGGGGGTGTTGTATTGGGCATTCTACCTGTGGTTGAAAAGTGCAGGACCTTAGTCTGGGAGGCCTTTGGGCAGATTAGGTAGGAGATGTGGAGAGCATTTGGTGTGCAAGTAAGCTCAAAACTACAAGCACTTTGAGGGGGAGAACACTAGGATCTCAATGATTATAGCAAATTAGTGGAGGCTCACGTTGGCAGCAGTTTGACTCAAAGAGACAATGTTGCAAGAACATGGTAAGAGAGACACACTCGAGGTGCGGTGAAGGTAATTGATCCCATGAGTATGAAGGAGGAATCAAATGGAAGTGAAAACATCCAGATATGGGAAGGAGGCGAGGTGAGGAGACATCGACTTGGACATTCTGAGGAGGAGACAACCGTAACAATCCCTCTTGGAGGGTAGAGAACACCACAAGACATGTTTTTAGTGAGAGGCAAGATATGAGGGAATAACACCTTGAGGGTGTTCTTTTTTTTGTAATAGTCCCTAAAAGACCTTGAGAAATGTATGCACTTGCATCCAACCAGAGAACAGTCCCACTTTTTTCAGCGTAACAATCCATGCCTTTGTCAGGAACAAAGCTCCAATTGAAAGCATGAATCAAGTTAAACAATAGCAATTGAGCAGTCTTCAATCCCAGTGACATCCCTAGACACATTCTTTGGCCCAGCCCAAAGTCCTGGCCTTTTATGTCAATCAAGTTTTCCCAAGGAACCTTTCCATCCTGAATCACAGTGCATCCTCCCTTACTGCTGGATCTCTTCCAATTGTATAACAATTGACAAATGTGGAAGTTCCCTTGGGAATGTCATAGCCAGCAACCTTGCACGCTTCAGTTGACATGTGAATCAGCAGTGGAGCTGGACCTTGACGATTGCCCAAGGTACTCCAGTTTGTCAAAGCCTCTCTCTGCAACAAGGCATTCCTTTCCGACGATGGTGTCAATCTAAATTTATATTATAATTTATAAACTTTCTTAAGTGTATTTTAAGTAATATGATTAATCTTGTGTTTATAAATTATGTATAAATAGCACACACCATTTCCAATGAAAGAGAAGTATCTAAGAGGTATATAAGATGTTGAGGTAAAGAGGTGGAAAGATGTAAAGAACAGAAGGAATTTACAAGAAAGAAAAAATATAAGTAATCAATATTCTTTGTCACAGTTACTCTTTCCAATAGGAAGGATGAATTGATGATCTATTGATATAAAAATTGGTTGCATTTAACAGTCCATGTGAGTGTCTTTGACTTGATATGTTCTTATTTTCTTGCTAAACTATTCTGCTGGTCTGCTTAAAACTTAGTGGTCCAACTTTGATGATTTTATGCAATTATTGATCAAGATATTTTATGGAGCCGACAATGTAAAAAAGCAACTTATATTGGTCTCATCCTTCTACCTGTTGCAATTTGATTGACATACCACCGAGCTAAAAATATTAAATATCCTGACTAGACTAAGAAGTTTTCTTGTCTTCCAGGACAGGACACCTGTTTATGGCATTATCTCCCAGGAAACAGCAAGCTTTGAAGGTTTCTTGGACGACCTAGGATTCTAAGCTTCTAGTCTTCTAAGCTCTGGATGAAATAAGACTGAGCATAGAATACTGCTGACTTCCATATGTGCACCGCGTGAGGAATGGCTTGGCTGGGCGAACAATGTATATGACAAAGTGCTAGGTGATCATCCGAATTGCGTAAAAAAATCATGGCTGCAGTAAGTTGCAAGGTTGCCATGCATTTTTCATTGATTTTCACTTCGTATGTAGCTAGTTTACAAAGTAAAGGCCACGCTACTAAGAGAAAAATAGCTGGAAGTACATCGATTTTCATATCAAGTTTGATAAATTTTGGATCTGGTTGAGTTTGTTTGAACTTGCCACCACGTTGCACCTTTTCGGGTCCGACACGATGATGGTGCGCTTTGGATCCAGAATCCAAGTCCCACGAAACGTGCCTCCACCCAGTAGGGGGTTATCCATGCCATGGTAGCAGCTGCTCGCATAATGGAACACCAGATTCGCTGGGATTGTGCAGGAGAGAACATCCAGGAACTTCAGGAAATCTTTCTTCCCATTCCGGGACGCATTCGTGGCAAGGATATCACGGTAATAGATGAATTCGTCTTCCTTGTCCTGGATCATCCTGCACGTAGTGTTCACGGCGTCCTGAAACGTCTGCACGCTCGGATCGGTGAGCAGCAGCACCGCCGGAAGATTGTTAAACTTCTTCTTGTAAAACTCCTTGGGAAACGAGAAGACGTCGTTCACCATCCACATATGATCGAGCATAGCGTTCTGAGCCCTGATGTAATCCAGGGACTCAACATCCTCATCGTCAAACGAAGCACCCATTGCGTAGATGAGTGGCAGAATGAAGACGTTCTTCCTCCGGTAGAGCTCGTAGTCCTGCGTTAAGTCGTCACTCGAGATGCTTCTCGCCCAGCCCTCAACAGTGGAAACCGTGCGCTTGAACAGCTCCGGCTTCAACAGAGACCTCAAATCCTCCATCAGATCGTGGCACGCTCGATAGGCAAGAATGTCCGGAACTTCCGCGAGCGATGCGGTTCCATAGCAGAGGCTAAGAACAGTGTCGAGATACGATGTCGCGAGAGCTCCCGCAGCAACCTCGTTGTCATCAAACGGATCGTTCAGGAAGGCAGTGAGCCAGGCAAACTTGGCCGACGCCACCATGTTGGCTTTTGGAGCGTGAGGCGTGGAGAGGCACGTAAACATTGGAACTTTCCACTGGACCAGGCATTTCTTCTCCTCCGGACTGAAATCCCTCCTCATGCATTTGAATGCCCACTCGTTTGCTTCCTTGGTGATTGACATATACTCGGGATGCCTTTGGAAAGGTATCTCCGGCGTGAGAGCAAAGAGATGTTCTACCGCTGGTAGCTTCTGTAAACACGGACTTGCCATTTCTTTAGAGATGGTTTCGAGATATTTTCTTCAATTTATGCTGCTAGGTTTCACGTGATCATGCCCAAGAAGTTTCCTGCTTGGACTGACTTTGATTGTGTACAGAAAATAGAACCGGTAGTTGTCAAAGAAAAGGCGGTCAGTTATTCTCATCTAAACTGCAACGCTTTTTCTTTGGGAGTCTAATGAGTCCATTTATAATGACTTGAAAGATTGTTGTGTAGTCAATTCAAGTGTGGCACTCGTCAAAGTTGTGGCTGACTAGAATTCTCAACAACCAATCTCAACCAAGTTTGAAGAAGCAAGCATATAATTGCCAAGGGCTATTTGCTTCTCAAATCTCAAATCTTCATATGGGGACTCTCCTCTATGTCATAATCTTGCTTGCTTTTGTCTATGTCTTAAGGAAATATTTGCTGCGCCTTAAGCTGCCTCCATCTCCATGGGGATTGCCCCTCCTTGGACACCTCCATCATCTCGCAGGAATTCCCTTCCTTTCATTGCATGCCCTGTCCAAGCAGTATGGACCAATTCTCTTCATGAAGCTGGGAACCGTGCCAGCGGTTGTCATCTCAAGCTCGGTTCTCGCCAAAGAGGTGTTGAGGTCGCAAGATCAGATGTTTGCTTCCAGGCCTTACATCCTCGTTGGAGACTATGGCTTGTACCACTTCCAGGGGATCGGACCTGTCCCTTACAATGATCACTGGAAGATGATGCGAAAGCTCTGCGCCACGGAGCTTTTCACTCCCAAGAGGATCGACTCGTTTCTCCCAATCAGGCTAGAGGAGATCACCGGCATGTTTTCGGCGCTTCGAGGTGCTGGAGCGCACAAAGCTGTGGACATGAGGAACATGTTGTCGATCTTCACCTTCAATGTCATGACCCGGATTCTCATGAACAAGAGATTCTTCGAGTACGGGGAGGATGAGGAACACATCGATGGCGAGGCCAAGCAGTTCAAAGACATTGTGTTCGAGACAGCAGACCAGGGACTCCAGTTTCATATCAGCGAGTTCATCCCGCACTGGCTCCGGTGGATTGATTGGAAAGTCCCGGAACTGAAGAGGCTCCATGCGAAGAAGGATAAGTTTCTCCAGAACATCCTTGACCAGCACAAGGACATGGCATCGACAAAGGGACACAAGGACTTCATGGACATCATGCTGCAAAATCTAGAGCACAGAGGAGCAGCCAGGGAGGATTTCATCAAGGCAGTAGTCCTTGTAAGTTTCCCCACACAACTTGTTTTGGTCACCAATCTCAAAACCATTTTGATCTGCAGGAACTCACCATTGCGGGGACCGATACAAGCGCTTGCATTGTCGAATGGACCCTCCTGGAGCTCCTTCACAACCCCCGAGTCCTGAGTAAGCTCAAGGAAGAGCTCGATGCAGTGGTGGGATCAAGTAGTCACATGGTCGAGGAGCCCGATTTCCAGAACCTGGACTACCTCAACGCGGTGATCAAGGAAGCTTTTCGTCTCCATCCACCTCTGCCGCTCCTCATTCCTCACATGTCGACTCAGACTTGCACCATAGCCGGCTTTCACGTCCCAAAGAATGCCTTCACGTTTGTCAACGTATACTCAATCGGAAGAGAGCGAGGGGTATGGGAAAGGGCGGATGAGTTTTGGCCGGAGAGGTTTCTTGGTAAGTCCGTGGATGTTAGAGGCCAGGACTTTGAGTTGCTTCCATTCGGATCCGGGCGACGGGCTTGTGCGGGAATGCAGCTGGGCTTGAAGACTGTCCAGCTTTTGGTGTCCAATTTGGTCCATGCTTTTGACTGGAGCTTTGTTCCAGGCAAACCGAGTGAAGATTACCTCCTTCAAGAACGTCATGGCACTGTTAACTGGATCAAGACCCCATTACAAGTTTGTGTCGTTCCTAGGACCAGATAGCTCTCTTCTGTTTAACTGAAAATAAACCAATCTTTTGGTACAATGGATTGAACTATCTCAGGGATGGAGATCTCGGGCTCAACTCGGGCAACAGGATCATCATGTCTGTTGGTACAGAGTGATGTTAATTGGGTGCTGGTAGTTCCCAATATTTTGCAGTGCTACTTCAAAACCCCTAAGTGATCCTCATTGCTTCTCTATGAAGCATGTAAACATGCTTCACAGACTAGGTATACCAGGCTCTCTTGAGCTGATCAAAGGGATGTTTCAAGAAGATTGTTATCACAGGCTAGAAACTTGGCTAGTAATCATTCTTCCCCATCTCAGGTATGGCATCAAGCTTACCATTAGAGCAAACATAAATTGCACTCATTACAGAATTTTTGATATACATTTTCTAGGTCAGTCAACATTGTTGGAAAATCCTTCTTGACTTTTTACTACACATCCACCAAGTTCAAACCTTTGATGAAATATTACACCTTTAGCAACTCATTATAAGTGCTTATGAAACTAAGGTAAATATCACGAAATTTGCAAGTATATGCATTTAAAAACAAAGTCCTCTACCTAATCCTTCTCACTGTTCTGTAGGAGTCAAAGTAAAGCATTGTTTACTTGACCAGAAAAAAGAATGCAAATCTCATTCACAGCCTACAACCATTGCAAGAAATTGAGAAATTGGGCTTTGATCCAGCACAGCCATGGGTGTTTTCATCTACTTCAAAGGATGCTGAGGAGCTACAGGCTTTGGTTTAGGAAGCACTGCCAAAAAGGTTGCACAGAATTGACTAAATTATGTGAATTCATTATCCAACTCTTTGCAATTTCGCATGCAGGGGCTAGGTCGGGAACTGGGTTTGCGACTGCCAGAGTCTTGGCTAAGTATGGCACCCATGTTGTATTCCAGCCAGAAAATGCAAAGGCAGCAAAGTCTAAGATTCAACAAGAAGGAAGCAATATGAAAGTAATACTCTTGGGGTTGGATCTGAGCTCTCTCATGTTGGTAAGGAAGTTTGTCAAAGAATTCAAGGCTTTAAACCTTATCCTAAAGAAGAAAAAAGAAAGAATAGAGCTGGATCTCAAGGTAAATGTATCTAACATGATTAGAGCAACAGATCTATTATACTAGAGCTACTAGAGGTATTGCATGAGCTAATAAGGAGTGAGCACTGAAGCTAACTAGAGTTAATTGGAGATGGTGGATTCCATTATGTTCCAACACTCCCTTTTCTTGGTGTGCCACTGACAAGAATGACTCCTAAATTGTGGCAATGATTAGTGAATGTGGACTCTTGGTAAAGGCTTGGTGAGGATATCTGTCATCTATTCATGACTTGAAAAAGAAATAAATTATTATGATCTGGCGTGAAAAGACAAAAATTCAGTCTTCCTAGACTATGTTACACCTCCTTTTGAGGTTCTTCACCATTTAACCACCCCCAAACTACCTTAAAAACTCCATTGCACCACCACTTCTCACCAAGTTTGTCTAAAATATCATCCACACACAATATTAGCATATTATCCTTCACTATTTCTTGTTCAAGGCACAGTAGTTAATACATATCCGCATTGAAACATCCTTCTTCACAAGCAAAACTAAAGCACCAAATGAAGACTTACTTAGCTGAATAAATTTAAACTCAAGTAACTTTTTGACTTGTCGTTGAACTTCTTGCTCTTCTACATAACTCAACCGAAATGGATGCCAGTAAATTGGCTACATCCTTAACTCCCTCTTGGATATGGTGTGTTGCCTTCTTCTGCATTTCAGACTGCCACACAGCTTCTGGGGAGAAGCAGTGAACACGACAGTTTACTTGCGTAACCGTTTGCCCACCCGAAGCACAAGCTTGATCCCGCATCACGTTTGGACTGGGAAACGTCCACATTGAGGGCACATCCGGATCCTTGGGTGCAGTGCGTATGCCCGCATCCCTGATCCGAACAGGCGCAAGCTCGATCCACGCAGCACAAAGACCATCTTCATGGGCTAAGGCCTACCAGCTCTACAAAAGAAGCTTGTAGTGAGCCGCGACGTGATTTTCAACGAGCAAGAGCTGTATCGAGACCTCAAAGGTACTTCAAGCATTCAACTGATCTTGTGGATCTTTCTTTGGTTCTGGATAAGGTGCTTCCTCTTTCGCTCCCAGCTCCAGAGAATTTTCCTCCAGGAGGAGCTAACAACCAAGGCCCACAAGATCCTGGCCGAGCAGTGCCCTTGGTGGCTGGAGGTGATGGATCTCCTCCTCACACGCCACTTCTTGCACCTCCAGGAGCCTCTACTGCTTCCACCAGCAGTCCCACTTCTTCAGCTGAGCCCTCGCTTGTTGCCATCGTCGACGACATTTTTGAAGGCGATGAAATATTTCATCAAGCATCCACCCAGGCCGTTGACCCCGTGATGACTCCTCCACCTCCACAGGTCTTTGGTCCATGACATAACCAAGCCTTCAGTCAAAGTGCTTGAGGCCATTGCCCAGGAACCACGATGGAAAGGACAATGCAAGGCCTTCCTGAGCCTCAAGGATATATGGCCGCTCTTGCCAGTCCTGATGGTCAAAGCAAGAGGTGATGCAAGATGAGTATTCTTCTTTGCTGACACTTGACTCTCATGCCATTGCCATCAAAAGAAGGAAAGTCGTGAGCTCCAAGTGGCTCTTTAAAGAAGAGCAAGGAAGTACAAGGTGGATGGGAGTGTGGAGCGATTCAAAGTCAGATTTGTCACTCCTGGCTTCTCGCAAATTCAGGGAGTTGACTATTCTGAGACTTGCGGTCGGGTAGTTAACCTAACCACCATCCGCTTGCTTTTGGTTTTAGCAGCCGAGCTTGATCTTGAGCTCTATCAACTCAATGTGCGCACATCATTCCTCAATTGTGATCTTGAGGAGGAGGTGTATGTGGCACAGCCTTAAGGTTTTGTCCTTCCAGGCCAAGAACACCTCATGTGCCAGCTGCATAAAGCTCTCTATGGGCTGAAACAAAGCCCCAGGTCTTGGTATAACAAGATTAATGGTTTTCTAATTACTCTTGGCTTCATATGCAGCTCAGCCGATGGTAATCTCTACATCTACTTTGAAGGTGAAGGATTTCTCTTCCTAGTGCTTTATGTGGATGATATCGCTTCTAACCAAGTCCAGCTTATTCACAAGATTAAGACATATCTCTCTGCAAAATTCGAGATGGTGGACCTTGGTGAGCTGCATTACTGCCTTGGAATCCAAGTACGACACAACAAGAGACATGAGATTCTAGAGCTCTCTCAAGAAAAATACATCCTGGATGTACTTCAGAGGTACTCTATGCTCGATGCTAATCTTGTGGCCACTCCTATGCCCGCAGGCCTTAAGCTTTCTAAAGCTTCTACATCCGAGACATATCGCACTGCCGGAAAAGCGCCAGAACTCTCTACCGTTCGATGGTCGGCAGCTTGATATATCTCGTGATTTGAACAAGGCCGGATTTGGGGGTGAATTATCAACTAGATTCATCTCAACTGGGCAAGCAAAGACTGGCAAATGCTACAACCTATTCTTCACTGGATTGTGATAGGAGAAGAGTATGGCACACTAACACTAGGCACATTAATAGTTTTAATCATTCATGCCCAAGCAAAAAAAGAGGTAAAGGACTCATCCCAAGATCAACTTAAGTCCTGGAGCATGGCCATTGCAATGCTCTGTGATCAGATCATGGTGTGCATCCTCCACCATCATTACTGTCACTGCCAGCATCAAATCCTTGAAGTTGGGCAATTCAGTGTTCAAAATAGTGAACTTGGGTTGCAAACTTTTATGACAATATGGTGGACAAATGCTTCCAAAAAATTGTTATATAGACAAGGGAAAAAACAATTCACCAAATTTTTAAAGGGCTTAAATGGCTAAGCCCAGATGGAAAATCTTCTTTTACCATTTACAATAGACAAACCTTATGTGCACAGCATCCAACTTGAATATATACAACCTATCCAAATAAAATAGTCTTGCAATGAATATTGGTATGTTTTTTACAAGCCATGAATAATAGAGATCATGAAAAGTTAGGATCCTATTTGGAGAAAAAAGTCCCTTTAATTCAATAACATGGTTATCAACCATCATAAGATTTAGTAGCTTATAGGGACAATATTTCAAATTATTAATGATAATCATTAATATAGAGCTTGGATAAAGTGTATTAACATTTATTTTTGTGATGAACCTATCTACCATATTAACATTCCAATTAGCCATGTCTATATAAGGGTACCAATGTCAACAAATTTATCTTGGCTTACCAAAAGATTAATGCATAATTTTACTAAAATTTCACCTCTACCTCTACTTTAACTTGCTTTGTTATGGTTGAATGCAGACTTGAGTAATTTTTTGTCCAAAAGCAAAACTTTATTTATGACATTAAGCAATTTTGTTTTTGGGAGACTTGAGTAAGGATGACATTTGACAATATTATGGTGATGATCTCACAACACTTATTTAGTACTCATGCACTCGGAATGACAGTATGATATAATTTAACAATTTAATCAATTTTATGTGTGCAATGTGGTGCAAAGTATGTCTTTCCTTCACTTTATAAGGGCTTATTTTTATTGGTTTAGTTTATAGCCTTTAGTGAAGGTAAAGCAAAATGTATATAAACTTGTGCATCCGGAAAGAGTCAGAAAGATGTTTTAGCTAAGCTTTTATAAATTGAGCATAATGTAAAGTCTTCAAAGTTGAAAAAAATATATATATTATAAATAATTGCAGACCAAAAGAGTGACTAGAGACTATAGCCGAAATTTTTACTCACGAATGTAAGTTTCTTATCATAGGCTTCATTTTTCTCAATTATACATATATTACTTTTGTAGTGAATAAAACTTAAAATGATGTAGATTCAAGAGGCTCTCTTTGCATGGAGCACAACTAGATGATATTGATCAGGCTCTATGTCAACAACACACTAATCATTATGGAGAACATGGTTATTTCACTTGCTGTTAAGGAGTAGTTGTCTTCAAGATTTACTATGGTCAATATTGGACCAATCAAGTAATGCCTTGGCAGCCAAATTTGTCATTGCAATGATGTCATGGACCTGTCTTAAGCTCATTATGTTTTTGATCTTTTGAATTATTTTCAAATGTAAAACACAAAGCTAATACTAACACCAACAACTTCTAGCTACATCCTTGTAGCTCAACACATCAGAGGACCACCATGCTATGATGACTGGTGTTCCATACCAATAAGCCATTGGCAGCCTACTATACTTAATAGTGTGCACACATCAAGATATCACATTCTTTGTGAGAATTGTCTCCTAGTTCATAGAGAATCCAAGTTGGGAACACTAGGTTGCTGTGAAAGGATTTTCCACTACCTTATTAATATTGTCAACTATGGCTTTGTTTATGAAGTTCTAGAGGTAGAGTTCGATTGGAGCAGATATGTTGATGCTAACTTTGCTGGAGATCTAGATTTTTGCAAATCCACATTAGATTATTGTTTTAACTTGGGCTTTGCATTGATCATATGGTCCAATAAGAAACAGCACATCACCATACTAAAGTAGAGTGTGTGGTGCTGATAGCAATGACACAGGATGCTCTTTGGCTACACAAAAATCTCTTGTGAGAGATTATACCAATCTTCTGTGACAATGAGAGTGTTATTGCTCTCACAAAGGACATATGACATCACGGAAAGACAAAACTAGATAACATATTTGTAAGGGAACTTTTAATGTTTATATTAGGCTTCAGCTTTGACCATGTGGTCAATGTTGGTCAAAGGAGGCTCAAGGGTATATTAAGGCATGTTAGGGTAAGGAACTAACAATGGAACTTTTGAGGTAGCTCAGGGGTGGTTGGGTGGTGAGGAACCTCAAAAGGAGGTGTAGTGTAGTCTATGAAGACTAGATTTTTGTCTTTTCGTGCCAGATCATAACATTGGTATCAGAGGGAAGTTGGTTACGATGGCCAACCAAGCTGAACGCTGGAATCCTATTGTTAATGGTGGTGACGGAGCTATAAAGGTTTGGACCATTCAAGATGTTGTTCATGAGCTGTAAGCCCTTAACTGAAATCAACAAGAGATGCAAGATGAGATGCATGGCATGATGGATACCATGTGTGAGTGTGTTGAATCACTCGAGGCTGAACGTGGTAGCGTTCCAAGTAAGCCTTCTTTGGTAGATCAACTCAAGATTCCAACTTTTTCCAGTGATGGTGGTGTGAACGAGTGTCTCGCTTGGCTAGCCAATGTGAAAAAGTTCTTGGCTGCTAGAGGAACTCTAGATGCAAAGGTTTTAGTGGCTATTCCAATGGTTTTGTGTGATGCAGGTATTTGGTGGTGGAATTGGCTTAAAAATCCTATGTTGCGGATAAAAAACCACCAAATGAGTTTGAGGTTGCTTTTCATCTATGTTTTGCCCCTTATTATGACATGAAGAATGCTCATATAGAACTTCAACATTTTCAGCAAGGAAAAATGACGCCCGAGAACTATATTAAGAAGTTTATTCACTTGATTAGTCATGTTTCCACAAAGGATCTAGATCAAAGCAAGTCCTACTTCATTAATGGCCTTCATAGTGAGAGTATGTGGCAACACTTATATCATTCTTAGTCTACAAAGAATTTGGAGGAGCTCTTTGATACAGCTCATCAACTTTACAATGACAAGCACAAATCTTGCAAGCATTCGAGGAGTTCTTCTGTCAAGAATCGTCATGATGATTATCATGGACACAAGGATGGAAACAAGCATCACAAGCTAAAGTTTTTGGTGGTTACTTTGGATGCAAAGGGGTCAAAGAAGCAGAAGTTCTTTGTGAAGAATTATAAACAGGGTTGTCATTATTGTGGTGAGCTCAGACATTACAAGGCTGATTATCCACAGTTGAAAAACAAGCAACAGAGCAAGAAGAATGGTCAATCTTCTACTGACGGTAAGTTAGATATTAAAAAGTTGCAAACTTTGCAATATAAAGATAATGGGGATGATCATTTTAGTCGAAGGAAGAGGCTTTCGATCATTGCTCATCAACTCAATTGTGTTTGGAACAGGATGGAGCCCGAGGACACTCGTGAATCAATTTTAATGCTGAGTGGCTGTCAAGTGTGGATTTTACTAGATAGCAGGAGCGATGACAACTTTGTTTCGACAAAGTTTGTTGCAGAGCATGGCTTGGTGACACAAAGAGTTCTTCCATATACAGTGGAAGGTGTAGCTACCTTTGCTCAGCATTTCAATGCTTGTGTAGTGGGGCTGGAAATGTTGGTTGGCAAAACCACACTTCTGGAGACTTTTTATCTTGCGGATATTATTATCAATAAAAATATATTAAGTTTAATAAAAGTTTGTATATGTTTTTATCAATTTTTACCACTTTCAAAATATTTCTACCACTATTTATAACATTCTTGATATTTGTTGTAAAAGTTAGAACAATTGACATATTGGAAAGCTCTTTATAAAGACAACCACTAATTAAGATAGAAATTTTATAGAGTCAAATATCCAAAGCTTTTTTTGGGGATTTTTGGGATGCCATGGTTGGTGAAGGTGGATCTGGAGGTAAAGTGGAGTATTAAACGTGTCTTGCTGGAGTACAGTGGTGTTAAAGATGTGTGGTTTGGAGAGGGAATTTAACCTCCAGTTATTATGCTCTCTACTACATCTTTAGAGTGGGTTTGTCATAATGGAAAACCACTTTCGAATTACTTATTATTTGTTCGTGACTTGGGGGACCAAGGCACGTGTGGGTGAGAAGCAACAATATGGAATATACTTGACGAGTTTATTGATGTTTTTCCATCCTCATGGGTTGCCTCCATTATGAGGTGTGGAACATGGGATTACATTCGTTTGGTTAAACCTCTCAACCACACCATTCTGCTGTGGTGTATAAACAACTATGTACTGATGAGAAATTCCTGCCTCAGCTAGGAATTGGAGAAATCCTTGTGCAATGTATTCTCCTCCTCCATCTGTGCGTAGCACATGGATTTTTCTTCCTGTAAAATTTTCTGCCCAGCTTTTGAAAATTTTAAAGTTTTCAAAAACTTCGGATTTGTTTCCTACCAAACACACCACTGTGTATCGTGAGTGATCATCTATGAATGAAACAAAATACCTCTTTCCACTTAGGAAATTTACAGGAAGATAGCAAACATCTCTGTGAATAAAATCAAGCACTACTGTGGCCTGGTTTTCCAAGGGTCGGGGAGGAAAAGGATGGCGTGCATGTTTGCCAAATTGGCAAGTATTGCAAAGTCCCAGATGTCCAGATGGAAATGCGATGCCATCAGCTAGCTTGCTGTGAGCAAGGTTCTGGAGATCCTTCTCATTTACATGCCCGAGACGAGCATGCCAAAGATGAATTGTCTCTTGGCCTTGAAGTGCTAGCATGTATGTCCCTGGATAAACAAGCTCTGCGTTGAGGCGATAGAGTGTATCGTACCTCACTCCAGTTGCCACAGTGGTGCCATCTGCTCCAAAAACAGTACATCCTTCTGCAAAGAATGTGATTGAGAACCCTTGATCGGAGGCGACGCCAACCGAAAGGACAGTCTGGCCTGCACCGGGCACATAGTGCATGTTATGGATTTCCTTGAGAGATCCATTGGGCAACTTCACTTGCACCATGCCACGGCCTTCAACGTCGAGAAGCCGCTTGTCTCCAACAAAGACTTGGTTTGGGGAAAGCAATTCGTGGAAAGTGTGGAATGCTGTACGAAGAGGAGTCATGTGGTAAGAAGCACCACTGTCCAACCAGAGGACGTCTAAACCAGACACCGGTGACGAGGCCACGGCCATCATCAGCAACGAGTCTGTTTGAGTTAGCATCCGTTGGGTGTTTGCTTTCTTAGCTCGACATTCTTGCTCTATGTGCCCCATCTTCCCGCAGTAGGTACACGGCCCCTTCTTTTTCTTGTTTCCATTTGTGGTGGAGCCAGGTGTTGGTGTCGCAGGAGCACTGGCAAATCCGCGAGAATTCCCACGCTTCTTGGCATTTCCATTTCCTGACTTCTTGCTGATGAACAAAGCCTGATCACGAGCAGAATCTGAGGAGGTCGTGCCTGCTTTTCGCTCCAGAAGCTTGCGCTCTTCTTCCAAGAGATTGGAATAGATCGTCTAGGGTCTTTCCTGGAACGAAGGAGAACATGGAGGAAGACGGTTGGAGTTCAGAAGAAACCGAATAGAGAAGGAAAGCTTTGGCATAATCGTCCGAGACAGGCGCGCCAGCCTCCTTAAGCTCTTGCATCATCCCCTTAAGCTTGCCAATGTACGATGCCATCGTGTCTGTTGGCTGCATCCGGAGAGAAAGGAACTTCTGGGTTAAGGACGATCATGGCATTTGCTGCTTTCGCAGCAAACACCTGCACCAAGGACTACCAATTCTCGTGAGCGGTCTTCGAGAGATCCAGCAGATGGATGAACTCGTCGCCGAGTCCTAAGCCAAGCGGGCTCTTCTATTCTTGGCTTTCCACACTGGCTGGAGAGCGGGCTCAGCTGGTTCAGCTTCGGTGCCGTCCACGATTGTCCAGCAATCGTTTGCCATCAAGATGAGCTGGACCTTTGTTCTCCAGGTTGCGAAGTTTTCTCCTGTGAATTTGTGTAGTAGTTTCTCCCAGCTTGGGGTTACAGCAGCGGAAGAAGATGCCATCTAAAGTTAGCGCTAGAAACAGAAATTTTATTGACGGGAGTGAGACGCGGGGAAAGTGCACACGCGCCTACACTGTGGGCAAAGCTGCTCGTGGCGTTTCGGAGAAGCATTTAGAACGAGATACCGCTGGGACTGTTATTTGGAACTCCGCTCCAAGTCATGGTCACTCCCGAAGAGGTACTATTAGGCTGATTGATAAACATAAGTACGGAGATTCCAGCATTGATCCAAAGGTATAATAAGCATGCCTGATGAGTGAGGCGCAACAGAAATACGTCTCTACCGTCGTCG